CAGTAAGAAGATGTCGCACAAAAAACTACAAGTGTCAAAAAAAGGATGATATTTATACTGTATCAGAAGTCTTTTCAAGCTGTATTTAGCCATTTTATGAGAGAAAGCACTTTAAGAATGAAGACTGACTGGTTTCTATGGGAAATGCACGTCTGTTCATTGGTTTATTCGCCACACCTCCAGTACCAAAAGCACGAGCAGTGAACTCCAGGCCCACGTGACTGAACTAAAAATTGAAAGAACTAAAAATTGAAAGAAACAGACTAAGAAATGACGTAAGCTCCATGATCAAAACTGCCAAAAAGAATTTCATCAATGACAAAACTGAGGAAAACAAAAATAAACCCCGTGAACTTTGGAAATTACTCAATAACCAGCTTGGCTGCAGTAAAAAACTCAAAACGAGATTTTCAAACGTAAACATAAAGACAGATAACAGGCTCATCACAGACAAACTGGATGTGGCCAAGTACTTGAACATTTTTTTCACAAACATAGCCACAACTCTTGTAAATAAATTACCCTCCCACTCAGGGCTTTTTGGAGTAGATCACATCATGACCTACTACAAAAACCTAGGGGTACGCAAAGATGATTTCAGTCTAGCAAGGGTAACAACAGCAGAGGTACTCATTAAACTGAGCGCCCTCAAACCTAACAAGGCCACTGGCCACGACAATATCCCCTCCAAATTCCTCAGAGACACAGCAACCGCCATCTCACCAGTCATAGCTCACATAATTAACCTCTCCATAAAACAGGGAAAAGTACCCAAAGACTTCAAAATTGCAAGAGTAACCCCCCTGCACAAAAAGGGCAGCAAATTGGACCCAGGCAACTACCGCCCTGTTTCTATACTTACCTCCATCTCGAAAGTCATGGAAAAAATAGTATATGAACAGGTCGAAAAGTACCTCGCAGAAAAGAAACTAATCTATGAATTTCAATCTGGCTTTAGAACATCCCACTCCACTGACACATGCCTTCTTTATTTGACCGACCACATCAAACAAGAGGTGGACGAGGGTAAATACTGCGGCATGGTGATGCTGGACCTACAAAAGGCTTTCGACACTGTCAATCACCCCATTCTGATTGACAAGCTAAAAGCAATTGGTTTTGATAAACTATCGGTGAGCTGGATGCAATCCTACCTGGAGGGGAGAGAACAGATGGTGGAGGTAAACGGTACTCTGTCCCCCCCCCCCTCCCAGTGAGCTGTGGTGTTCCACAAGGAAGCATATTAGGTCCGTTACTGTTCCTAATTTATGCAAATGACATGTCATCAGCATGTGACTGCAACTTGTTCCTGTTCGCGGACGACTCAGCCCTGCTGGTCTCTGACAGGAGCAGATTGCAGGTTGAAAAAACCCTCAGCTCCGAGCTCGGCAGAATCTGCACCTGGCTCGCCGATAATAAATTATCATTACACCTGGGTAAAACAGAGTCCATTCTCTTCGGTTCGAAACATAATCTCAGCAAATCCGACGACTTCTCAGTTGCAGTGGGTGACATTATTGTCACAAGTAAGAAGGAAATTACATACCTAGGATCTATTCTTGAGGCAAACCTCTCCTGTGACAAAATGGCATCCAATGTAATAAAAAAAGTCAATCAAAGAACTAGATTCCTATACCGGATCTCCTCTCTGGTAAACAAAAACACCCTGAAAACTCTGGCAGGAGCACTCATTCAAGGGTACTATGACTATGCTTGCACGTCATGGTACCATAGCACCTCCAAGGCGCTAAAAACAAAACTTCAAACATCGCAAAATAAACTGGTCAGACTACTGCTTGAACTTTCATCTAGAACCCACCTCACCTCTGCCCACTTTGACAACCTAGGATGGCTTAGAGTAGACGACAGAGTACAGCTACTTGCAATGGGCCTGGTCTACAAGATCCACTACACCTCTATGGTACCCATGTACATGTCAAAATTCTTCCCAAAGGTCAAGGAATACCATGATCATAACACCAGAGGGAGCTCCACAAATCATGTAAAACCCAGATTTGGCACAAAAAAAGGGGAATACACGTTTCGCAATTATGCCACATCAAGGTGGAACGCTCTTCCCACAACTGTAAAGGAAAGTAAAACTATACTTACCTTCAAAACCTCTCTTAAAGAGCACCTTCGGGGGAAAGCATTGCAAAACTGGCCCCGGTAATGGTACAAATCTCAACCTGTCGTACAATGGACAGCTTCCCCCCCCCCATCTATGTATATACTCGCATTTTAGACTCTGTTACTAACTGTATATCTGTAGACTTGGTATGTCTTAAATGTCCGGTTAGGATGTATTAGAACGAAATCTAAAATGAAAATTGTAAATAATCCATCTGTATGTAAAAAACCACCTGTATGTAAATTGTAAATAAGCCATCTGTATGTCATATATGTCTTATATGTCTTAAATGATATGATGAATTGGAAATGGGGGACCCTGATGTAAACAAGACGAAAGTCTTTCTCTGGTCTGCATCCCCTTAACAATTGTATGTTTTGAGCTGTACTGTACTGTACCCAATATACAAGCTGTTAATAAACTTTTCAATCAATCAATCAATCAAACTGTAGCTCTTGCATTTGCATGCGTCATATAAACAATGCATTTATTTTACTGATGACTGACTGATTCTATAATTTAGGGTACATTTCTCATCAACAAAACAGTACAACAAAAGTGTTCTTTCTCAATAGAACAATCAGTGGTTCAAGTTAGTATATTCCTCAGTGTAACATATCCACTAGTTGCAAAGCTTAAACATTTTTTTATTTTAAAGGATGTTTTCACTACTCAGTTTGTCAACTATGTTATGGACAAACTTGATGTCATTACAATCATTTGATTAAGTCCTGCACTTCAAGTAAAATACAACTTGAAAGGCTATACCATCCAATCATTTTTAAAAGTTAAAAAAATAATTGTATTCAAGTTTTGTTTTTTCATGTGATATGTTCAGCACTGTCATTAAGAATAGGGATATTTTTTATTATAAAAACTACCATACAGGTCATTTTGATAGTTTTAAGAGATGTCATGTAAAACTCCAACCTGTGTAGATGTACATTATACTATAAAGGATATCAGAAGCACTATTTTAGATATTTAAAATTTGAAAGAATGAGGTGCAACATAGTTGACAATGAAAGTCAAACATTTGACGCAAATAACTTAGTTGACTGGACACATTATTAACCATCAGCACTATGTTCATTTCAAGGCAGAAGTGCACAATTCAATTGATAATGATGTCTACATGTCATTCAAATTGTCAACTAGGTTACCTGTCAACTAAGTTACTACAGTTATTACAGTACTGGGTAACTTAGTTGACAATTTCCCTATTTTGACCCATAATTTCAATGGTAGGTTTCAACAGGTTAACATCACATTTGAACATATAATTGAATTAAAATCATTAAGCAATTGTAAACCATAACAATGTACGTAACATTGTTGATGGTCAATTAATATACTCATTGACAATGTGCTATTATACATAGAATATTGTAAAAAATTAGAGGACAATCACCACAGTGTGTTCAAAATGTCTGCCAAAGAGGAACATGGCATCATGTGATGCTGGTGACATGGTATTGGGACAAACCATTTTTGAGTTAGTATTTAGACTTTTGAAATAAATGAATACTTTTTTTAATTTACTTTAATGGTTTTTATTCATTATTTTGAAACCAAGACACCCTCAACTGAAAAACGGACATAGCAAAAACTGACAATTTAAGAACATCATGACACATTTCAAGCTAAATAAAGCATAGGATGCACATAATGTGTGTGATATTATAACAAGCTTTCCAATAATAGGCAAAATATGATATTTATGAAGAAAATAGTTAGAATAATTATAATTATCATCAATGGACATCAACGGACATGGAATGTACCCTAAATTGTAGAATCACTGTTAAACGGACTTACTGTACGACTTTAGAAGGGTCTCCGTGGTTCCTGAACCGAACAGCCTTGCATGTTTGTGCTGCAACTGAATGACTGAAAAGAGACACGTTTTCCCTGTGCTTTGAACATTTTAAAAGAGCAGCAGCAACGCTTCTTCTGCTCACTGTCCGGCTTCCTAAACACACTGTGTGAAAGGGCAGCCACATTGTAAACCCAGCAGTTCACTAGAAAAATAACCCCCGCTAAGCCAAACTGTTTCTCATTTGAACTATGGTTGCAGTCGAATAGTCCAAAAATCAGCTCCTAACGTCTATCCCTATCGTGGGTGCGTTTCACTTCTCTTATTTTTCATTTCCTTCCTTGCGTCTCTCTGGCTGCGTCTCAGGCAGTAGCGTAGGCAGAAATGTACTTTAGGGTGGGCCAGCTTTTTCCAGGGGGAAAAATGACTTTAAATTAGGCCTGGCCTATAATAACAATATATAATAATGCCCATTGCCAAGCATCGTTGTATAGCATTTCCCTCCGAATAATGGTCGAAGACCTGACTGATGATATGAATTCATTGAAATCTCCAATATCAACGTAAGAGCTATAAAGACACAAAAATAACAAATACATAGGCTCCATCCGTATTAGAATCACTTTAGCATACTACCAAAAGTGAACTGTAAACAGACAGCAAAGCTACAAAACAGCATACAAACGAATTAGGACACAACCTACATGTTTATATTATAGTTAATACCAACCTTGTGCCTCTAAACTTAAACATAAACTTTATCCTTTACTTTTTCCGTCTTAGATGTCAACCAACCACATGTTGGTGGTCTACCATATTAGAGAAATCAATTTGACTTGTATGTCATCCTAAGGAGCCAGTCTGCCCGATGATTTACTTTTGAAACCAATTTGACTTGTATGTCATCCTAAGGAGCCAGTCTGCCCGATGATTTACTTTTGAAACCATAACACACCCTGCCGATAAAATGTGTTCACATTTATACCAAAACGATTTTCAATGAAGGATTTTCTCTTTGTAAGAGCAGGAGAACAAAATCAAACACAAGACACATGAATATTGATATATTTACTAGGAAATGGAGCAGATCTTTACATATAGAAACGTAATCACAGTAATACTTTGAAAAGCCTACATGCTGCTCATCATTGACAAATTAGCCATTAAATCAACATAAGATAGATCAAGATAGACGTAGTTTCATGGCAGTAAACATTGATACAATCATCAGTAATAAATGCACATATTTTTTGGAAGTAGCTCTAGCCAATAATCTTATAAAATACAACACCACAGATTAATGGCTGATGGTCACAAACAAGATGTACCATGAAAAGCACACATAGCGCAAACTGTGGTACAGGATGCTTCGATGTGCTTCAAATGTCTCCCTGAGCACATAGTCTTACAAATCCTTGGATTTTCAAGGTATATCTGACCCATTAAACATCCCACATTGAAATCACAATCACACACCACTGAGGGGTCAAACAGGTTTGTTGCAGTCAGAACGGACTTACTTCTAATGGATTAGTTTCCAAATGATACTTTGAAAACACCACTAAGTTCAGCAGAATGTTGCAAACATTACAATACAACACTTTCATTCAACCTTTATCAAAGTAGTGGGTGTCAGAATCCAAGTTTGACAGTCAGTGGTTTCGGGGATTTTAAACAAAGTTAGTTACAGATTGATCACAAAGTCATCCATGTATGTCCCTTTTTAAATGGAGAGAAAGTAAAGTGTTCAAGTTAGAGAAAATACTGGCACTGCAATCATAAAAGGTCATTTCAACATAAAAATAGACAGAAATGTAAACCGTTCTATCTAATCAGAGCACTTTAACAATCTTTCTGTCAATCAAATCCTGAGTGTAGTCTTCAAAACTGTTTTTTATTTTTTTTTTAAATCAGGTATTAAACGTATATATATATCATCACCTAACAGCAGAGTAGGAACGTTTTTTTGAGTTTTCATCCATGACACATTCTTTTTGTCTTAAGCATTGATAGTCTGAAACACTAAAGTCTTGGCCATGTGTTGAGATGAGACAACCCCAGATTATATACTACTAGCCCCCATCCCTGTTACAATATTCTACTACATCCCCATCTACAACGATTATAGAGGAAAAAAATACAATAATAGTGGAACATTTTTCTTCATATCATGTCATATCACGGCAGGTTAGGTCAAAGAGGAGAAAATATAAAGATCATCATCACACGGGAGGCATGGAAAGATGACAAAGTATAAAAGTCACGCATAAAAATTTCAACGTGACCATTTCACAAATTATTGAATTTTGGGCCACAATCCTAGTTATTTTTTTCTTAAAAAGGTCAAACAAAATTGTTGCACCATCATATTACGAAAAACCCCTTTTTACTTTGGCATCTTTATCATACGCTTCACATCGTGCGGATGAACATTCGGTTTCTACTTTTTCCTGAATAAACACTCCTCGACTCCTTCTAAGCAATCTGAAGCATTCCCTGAGTTTTCAGATTGGCAATTCCTGAGGTGAGCCTAAGAGTGGGTTTTTTATTTATTTCAACCAACCAGCGACTGACTGTATGTGGTATATGAAAATCTAAAAAAATACAATATAAAATATGCAACATATATTTGAAAGTAAAGATTGAAATGAATACAAAAATTAATTAATGCATCTTACACATGATTAGTGCAGAGTAACATTGCATTGGTTTTGGCATAGATAAGAATAACAACGGGGCTCTCTTCCGAGAGGCTCATTGTGAACAAAAAACAAAGAATTTAAAAAAGAAAAATCATACAAGGCAAAAAAAAACAAACTCAGTTACCGTCACTCCTCATAATACTATGTACCTGCACAGAATTGACTGTATAATGTTACTTGTGCGTTGCAATATATTACTGTTCAATACGGCTTTGAACTATTGTTAAGGACAATGATTTATCAAGCACTTTTGTACACAGCAATACAAGTACCTGGTTGTTAAAATGTGTTACCCAAATATATTCTCATGTCACATATAGCTTTGAATGACATTTGGTTGCTGAGAGGCTTCAACAGGAGCAGAAGGGGGAAGCTGCAGCACTCTTGGATGAAAATAAATAAGTAGAATGACTTTTTAAAAAGGCTTTAGAATAATTTCACATATATATTAATTCGGTGTAAAAGTCGTGTCAGCGTCTCCTGTAGAACGGGAGTAAATCGCCGAGTCGCTAGCTAGTTCTACATGCTCCTCCGTGCAGGCTTGGTGTTCCTGAGCTATAACCCTCCTAAGGGTCATAGGGAGGTAATGTCTTAAATAACTACCTAGAAATGAATCACACTGAATATAAACAAAACACCAGCCATCCCACTGGCGACATCCTGTTTGATTCTGCCTAATTTTATTCAAGTATCAAGAAGAGAGCTCATTCAGCCATTGATGGAAATTAATTAAGCTCCCGGAAACATAAAAGAGAAACTAGACTAATTGAGGGCCGGCCTACAAAAGAAAACGGACTTTCCTTGTTAAACCGTGTTGACCAAATTTGTTATCGTAATTATCTAAATTGATGTGCCCATCATATTCTCTATTTTTCCCAAACCTGACATTAACATGTTTTAGGAAAGGTGTTAAGTTCATCCTTAATTGGGTTTTTATTCATTTTAGTGGAAATTCTGTGTAAATACTGTAGTGCAAAAAGGATTTGATTTCATCCCAATAATCTCCAAAGCTGTATTATGAGAATATTTGGTTTACCATCAGCAGTTAGAATGAGTTTTGGTAGCAGACCATGAGGTAGATCGGCACATTTAGACAGCCAGCAAAAGGCTGGACGAAAATAATGAAAATGACAAAAAAATGAATCTGACCGACAGTTTGAAAAACCACTTCTGGTCTGACATTCATTTCGCCCCAGGATCACTGGATGGTCGATTGCAATATTGACATACGCCAATACATTGCCTAAAGCTATACCGTAAAACCCATCCCATATGTTTTCACAAACCCTCCCTCTCCCCATGCGATATGCAAAGTAACATTCATTACAGAGGTCCCAACTTTAAAGTCTCTGCCTTGTCGGATAGTCAGGTGTAACAGTCAGGAAGGAGACTAATTGGTAAGGCAGCAAAAGTGTAACTCTAATACTTAAACACACTTACTGAGTATTACGCAAAAAAAATGAGGTAGACCACCCACTGTAAGGGCAGTTTCACATAAAAACAAAACAGATTCTACTTAAAAAAGATAATCTGTTATATGGCACTACAATCTCAACGCCTCAAACAGCAGTGATTCGAACATTTAGAAAGCGTCCTGAGTGCAATAATACAGCAGTATTCCTGAGTGTTACACCAACGTAAAACAAATCAACAAAAACTTTAGCAACATTCTTCATCAGCATTTTTTTTTTTTTTAACCTGAGGTAGTTTCAAAAGCAGCTTCGACAGGTGGAAGGGGATCCACGTGTCCCGTCTCACCATCGAAGCAGTTTGATTGGCCTCTGCCCTTCCCCGATAACTCGCCTAATCAGAGGCTTCGGGAGGGGGTGCCGCGAGGCTGTGCTCCTCCTCCTGCTCCACGTTGTCTCCTTTCGAGGGGGACGGTTTTTCCTGAGATCCTGGCGACGACTGTTGTGCTTTGATTGGGCAGTTGGCAACCATGTGGTCGATGCTCTGGCAGAAATGGCACTTCTTGGGCTGGGGTGGCAACTTGCACTCTTTGGCATGGTGGTCCAGGTCTCCACAGTTATAGCACCTTAAAAAAGAACAGAGCAATACATAAATTGCATGTAGTGTGTGCTTGAGAATGCAATAATGTATTGTTTGGCCACTTTGGGGGTCGCGGAAAAGAAGCTTGGTACACAATAGAGACATCATTACAGGGTTTTAGGATGAAATGACCGACTACAAGTTCTATAGAGCAACATTTTTACTAAATTGAGTGTCTTATTGGTGGCCACCTGGTCATTTTGAGGCCAATATTCACTCTAATTTATCTCAGTTTTTCATCTTATTCTTAAAAGGAAATATCTGTCTCTTTAGCTGCTAAATACTGCTCGGATCTGTCTTCTACAGCTTTACAAAGGTCCTATAGAGCCATGGGAAACTAAAACAACCTCTCCAAAAAAGTTGAAATATAAAGAAACACCCCCTAGGAGTCACAGTCATTAATTGTATGAATGTCGTTAATTGGCTCGGGTGGTTTTGGTACCCGTTTTCGCATTGAAAGAGAAACCAGGTGAGCCAGGGAGTGAATATTTTGGGTTGACCGCTCAAATGCAAGACATTGTAAGACTCAGTAATGGGTACCTCTTGGATTTTTATGCTATTAGGGGTCAAAACACTTTTTAATCAGTCAATCTCATAAGCCGCGTTCACACCAAGTACTTTGCCGTACTTAGTGCCCCGGCACGTATTACCCCAGGGCACTAAGTACAGATCGCGTTCACACCGGAATAAGTTCCCTGAGGGAAGATTACGCAAATGAGCCGCTGACGTCACTTCGTCTTCTTCTGTTTTGGGTTTACTGGCAGGCCGCAAACAACTTCACGGTGTATACTGCCACCCGAAGTCCCCGGCCGGAAGTCCCCGGAGTTGGAGACTGGTAAATCACCAGAACGCCGACACCTCCTCATCTCCACCGCTCCCATGTTTTATTTTGTGTTGCCATAAGTTAGTCTCTCTGCGTTTGTGCACTGGGCGAATGCTAATAATGCTAATGCGAGGATAATAAAATGGCGGCTCTACAAAACATTTCAGAGTTGTACGGGGCGTGGTTTGCAATTCGCCCACCCAATCAGAACTGGGGCACTTTTTTACCCCCAGGAAAGTACCATCTCTCAGCAGGCACTAAAAATGGGGGTAAAAGTTCCCGGCTTGAAGTACTCTTTTTGGTGTGAACGCGACATAAGGGGTACTAACGGAACTAAACACGAAAAGTATGGGGAAAAGTACTCCGGTGTGAACGCGGCTACACAAAGGCCTTTAGTCTTAACACAAAAAAGCTACATTAAATTGATTGCTAACCAGACACCATTCTCACTGAAATCCCAAATGCTTCAATACATTTTTTAACTGTAATTAATAATTGCTATATTCAATAAATGTGCTACCTCAAAAATGTGGACACATTGAGTATTGAATGTTGATTGGCTTCCAAACTAATCTTCAGCAAATTCATCAAAAAACAGCTTTCTAGTGTGAAAGTGCACAGTAAATATAAAACATCCAAATGAATCCACAATAGCCAAAACACGATTTTGAGTAGAGGGGGATTTCAAGATGCTCCTTTTTGCCACTAGATGGCCACATTTCACCTGGAATGACTTGACATAAATCTTGCAAGGGGCATTTCAGGTCACACCACACAGCTCAGTGGAGGAGCACCCTACTACAGAAGGTCTAAATGTGAAAGTGACCAAATGGTGCATTTATGACATTAGAATCCTTAAAGCGAGAAGTTTTTCTCCAAAGTTTACCAATGAAGTGGACTATTATAGTCTTATGCAAGAATTAACTGGCAAGTCTCTTATTACATGGACCTGGTATGGTTACCATGACTCATTTACTCAAGCTATCCCCAACAGCTTGTCCTATTTGTCAGTTTGTCACTGCAGAAAGCTTCCCATTGGCCTCCATTGTACCAAAGTAAGACATGTGTTTCATTGGCATTGAACTTTAGAAATGGACAACTATAAGGCGTCAGCGGGAGCCATCACGGGGGCCATCGGCCAACCTCTGTTCAAACATAACACTAAAGAATGGCCACGCGTGCAGGGGCGTAAGACAGATGGGTGGTGGGCGTGGGGGCGATCACTCTGTGCCACTGCGGACCCCCTGCCACCATTGTAGTAGCAGATGACGTTTGAACGGGGCGGCTGCCGAGGGGTCAGTGTGGCCGTTGGGGCCGGTGTCAAGGTCTAAACCATCACTTCACAGAAGCTCCCCACATCAGCATCCATCAGGAGGAAAGTGGAGGGAAGGGGAAGTGGTCCCTTTGTCTAAAAAAGCTGCAGTAATGACCTCTGAACCCTGCCCTCCCCGCCCTCTCCTCACTTCTCTAACCCCCCAATCCCATCCCAGCCCCCAGTCCCTCCTTTGCATTTACTCATACGATGTTGCCATGGTAGCAGTGACCTTTCACCCCCTCGCCCGGGCTCTTACATCTGTTATCAATTAAATGGACAGGAGCTTTTTTTCCCCACCCTTACTCATATATATACACACAAGCACTCACAAAGGTGGTCTATAACATGTTGGACGGAAAAACAGCTGTTCACTTTGATGGTGATGGTGGTGGTGGTGGCAAAACCACCCTTGTATCAAAAGAGATCCATGGTCTTGATCAATCAATCGCAAACCAATGAAATCCAGTTGCATATTGAAATACGCTATAGGGGAACGATATCTTATCCATGGATCAGTGTGGTCCAGGGAGAGGTATTGAGCCACAGCAGGCCTCCCAGGACTCTTTGAGGCGGTAATGATCTCTGTTCTCACACCGGCTACTCTCTGGCTCTAATCACAACTGACAGGGAGGTGAAGTTGATACACCTCTAACCCTACATCGATATTCAAAGAAGGACCAAAAAAATCAAGATCCCTGTGGCTCTACTTTCTTTCACTTGGGGGACAATGTTGCCTTTTCATGAAACCCTTGCACCTTCAGAAGAAATGCTTCAAAAATGTATCTTTGCTGATTGATCACCACCAGGAACACTTTAAACTAGGTTCAGATAAAATGAAAATATGTTGTAAAAACACGTATTTTGCCGTGATGAGGAATGACCACAACATAAAGTTGGTATACTTGATAAAATAACTAAGCAAACACAATTTTTTTACATTATTCAAATTAAGATAATCTTCTTTGTTATGAGATTGGTTTTGGAGTAACAAATCACATTTGTGGTTGAGGAAGGGAGAGAGAGAGTCAGTGGGTGTGAATTCACCAGGGGCCAGCAGATTTAAACAGTTATTGATCCAGGTCACACGTCAAGCCTGCTGCTGTGACCCTTGCTAGGGCTAGGGCTAGAGGTGGGGGTTGGGGGTTGAGGAAGAGGAAGCAAAATGGGGAGAAACTAAAACGTCGTCGTATATCCGATCCCAACTGGAAACAACAAAGAGTCTACATGTTTGAAGACTCCTGAGAAATAAAGCCTCTAAGGGTGTCCAATGTAAAAGGTGAGTCATCGTTTCTTGGCCAATGAAAATCATACATCTCCACATTTGATTCAGATTTGTTTTTAGATAAATAGAGGTTTTTTCCACTTTCTTACCTATCTCCCTTTGAGCGTCGCTTCTGGACCTTCTTGCCTTTGGGTCTCCTCTCGCTGCCCACACAGTGGATGCCATCGGGCCCGGTAACTTGCTGCGACTCCAGGCCCTTTGATGACTTCTTGAAGCTAAAATCGACCGCTTCGCCTTCCTTCAGGCTGCGGAAGCCCTCCATGTGCAACTTGCTCTGAAAGGAGACAAGAAAAAGGGTTCAGCATCAAAAATATTGTTTGGTGGGGATTTTATTACGTGTAATGGTGACTGAGGTTTACCGAAACCTATGGCTTTTTCCCATGAAATTGATCTTATTGTAATATATGTAAAGAACTGATTGTGTTTTTCAGAAACTGCCATATTACCCAACCAGTGACCAAATCACCCCCCCATTGCGCCTGTGAATACTTTAGAGCAACCCCCCACCCATTCCTAGCTGAGTGATACCATCAGAGCCCTACAGGACTTATCAGGTATTTTAATGTGATCATGATGTCCCACCTGATAAACAAACGCCACAAAGCTTGATGTCTCCCCCCTCCCTCTCTACTGACATTTACACACACTATACCTTGAATAAAAAGGCACTGTTCTCTTAATGCTGCATTGTCTTTTTGCAGTGTTTGAGTGGTAAACCTGACTAGGATAACCTTCAACCCATCCCCCCCTCCGGAGGAACGGCATTCCTCACTGCTGCCCCCACCCCATCTCTCTTCCCACCCACATCACAAAGCTCCACTAACACACTGACCACCACCACTAACCCTAAACTGCAGGATGCAGGGGTTAGTGCAGCAGTTGGGGGTGGGGTGAGAAGGCAGCGTGGTTCTCTGGGAGGTTGGGGGTCAGGGTGACATTCCTTGGATAGTTGTTTGGCAGAAAGACGTGGAAGATAAAAGTTAAAGGGAAAGCACAATTGATTGATATCTTCCTTTGATAACAGAATGTGAATGGCTAACATTTTTTGGGGAAATGAATGACATGATCTTATTGCATTTGCTTATAGTGAACATTTACTTAGCCTCCTGCTAAGCTACATATTCACTGAGACTATATTTACCTGAAGTGACCTTTCATACTTTCAAACCATGATGAAGGGAAGGAAAGGTGTGGAGCAGTTTTAAGGATAAAACTCAGATTGGGAAACATGGGAAACCCCTCTCTGAAATTCCCTTGGTGGGATTGTGAGATTAACTTGTCACAACTATAGAAGCTGTTTACACAAGAACAAAGATCTATGATGTAGCAGGTTTGTTTTGATAAACATAATCCCATTTTCTTTATCTCATTTTTGAGTAAAGTCACATCCATCATGAACGATGAGCTGCACTCTGTGTTTATCAAAACCACCGGAGATCAAAATGATCTTCTCAAAGCATCCAGTTTGATGTGAGGATAGTCTAGGCTTAGCTTTAAACTGAATCCAACAGAAGGATCCTTTAGGACGGTTTAGTAATTAAAGGATACAAGGGGGTACGATAATAACTACTAATGTTGTATGCAATTAGAAAACAAAACCAAACAAAAGCACCATCCTTTCTAATCCTGCGACAGTTGTGAGCATCTGCTGCAAAAGTAGTGAGCCATGACATCTGAGTGGCAACAAGGACGTCCACAAAGCCTCAATCCCATCAGGCCTCTCTTCTTTGGTGACCGTTAACCCACTTCCTCTTCCATGTGTGACCATCCCCACCCCCATGACAGACCCTCAATAGCCACATCAGGTTATCCACACACACAGTGCAGGTACAAGGGCTTAACTTCAATTATGTAATGTCCAGGTGTATTTTAGGGGGTCTACTGTAAACTTTAACCTTTTCCCAGAATGTGTCTAGAAGCCAAGTGAGGCAGAGAAAGACATCAGAGCCGAGGGGGACAAAAGCAGGGCTGCTGCTGAGACAAAGAGGGGCTTGGTCACGGCCGAGGGGTGCTTCATTCGGATGCATGGCTCTATTGTCCACCTGCACAAAGGCCAGAGGACCCTGGGAGTTCATTTTCCTTGACACGCGGCCACTAATTTTAGGGTTGAAGCCTTTTACGTTGCCATAACCTCGCAACATCTATCATTGACACGCGTCTCTCTTCCTTTTTCAGTGACAGAGATGCAAGTACGTCATTAGTTGCCCATTTCTTGTGAATATATTGAGAGCACAGTGTGGGGTTATTGCTGAGAATGAACCGTTTTCACTTTAAATGTAAGCAAAAAATCAACTGTTTTCATCAAAGAAATTGAAGTTTTTTTGTGGAGATGCAAATAATGAATGTTCACTTCTAGTAGAACATCTTGTTCATCTCAATTTTCTTGTTAAACTACCTGGGCACCAAACTGTAGGTTTCTGTCTCGTGTTGAACTCATGTTTTGATTTGCATTATGATTAATCAGGCACCCACTTCCTGTGTATAGTCAAATAATATTCCAGTTACAACGGCTGCAAAGAGCAATTTCTCAATATGCATCATCAAAAGCAGAGAGCAGATAAAACAGAGATGAGTAAGAGTGGGAAACTGGCTTCCACTTAATTTGAAAATGCAGGTTTTTAAGACTAAAATGTAACCTCATAAGGATATATATAGCATATAAAGTTATATCTTTAAAAAAAGGGCACTGTGGGAGACAAATGTCCCCACAGCATGAGGTCCTGGGGGGTCATGGCCTGGTGTGGCCAAGGGAAATTTACCTAAAATAAACCCTGATATCTTCTTCCCTCTTTAAAGCTAGTATAACAGATGCCACACACACTGAGGGGGTTGGGCAGACATCAAAGAGCCTTTAATCACTTTATGACAGGAACCTTGAGGTGAATGAGCAGCTAGTGAAGACGCCTCTCATTCACATGCTAAGCTTTTATCTTATCAGACGGCAATGGAGACGCTCACCCACATGAGAAGTAGGGGGGAAATACACCCCCACCCCCCAAAGCTCTCTACCTCCCACTCGGTATGTAAGAAGGTGAATGAAGGCGTTGGGTAAACTTGGATGAAGTGAGAAGTTTTCTTTTATCTCTTCAATTTGAGAAAGAAACAATGAAATCTCGAGTGGAAACATCACCAACCATAACATTCACAGTTAGATTTGGCCCAAAAATACAGTCAGGGTGGTCATACATGCATAAATGTGAAATGATTGTTAGCCTGGTGAAGTCATACAAAAGGCAAAATCATTAATATTGCCAGACAAAAGGTGTGTGTGTCTAAGAAGCATATTCTAACCTTTAAAAATAAGTGGTCAATAATCAATGTGGAGATGGTGTGTCTTTTCACTGAGGTCAAACAATGTATGACTAATTTGAAAAGCTTCCACTTTGTGAAAAGATGTAATGCTAAATGGGAAATCTACTCCTCATTTTCCAAACAAATACTTCATTATATCGATGTTGAAATGGCTTCAGGAGAGGATCAATTGAACGTTTCCTTCTTCTTAAAAGAGCAGTTTTCATGCAGCTCACACAGCACTCACTGGGATCTATATTCACCATCTTATAAGCATTGATGCCAACCTATTGGAGCGTGCAAGCTCTAACCACAAGTTGGTTTTTACCTCACATAAAACAAATCACGAGGGAGGCCGGCAGATCTCCTCTGGCTGCAACACGTGTTCCCTGATGGAGAAACACCCACCACACTACAAACACCCGGTTAAAACATCTCATTTAAATTAACTTGAATCAACCTTCATTGGGTATTGAGTATTAGGTTTTCGGTTAACTTAACATGGCAATTTTTTTGGGTGTCGTTTTTCAAGGACTAATGACTCATTGGTGACTACTGACTAGTTTCAACAATGCAAAAAAAAACACACATTTATCTGTATTAGAAACGGGTGGGACGATCTCACTGTTGCTGGTTGGAAAGTGGATTTTCAGCCCCCCAGGTGTTGATACTTTTTTTTGCAATGTTGAGATGCATCTCCAGTTTGGGGTTTCCGGCCATTGAATTTCACAATTTTCAAAAGGCACCGAGATAAAGTCATCCTACCTGATGGACAAATACGTCGACCGGTTCTTCCAGAGGCACTCCCTCTCGGTCCGTCATGGACAGGAACCCGAAGCCCATGCGGACGTTGAACCATTTGCACACGCCGACTCCGTGGAAAGACTGGCAGTCCTCCTCGGTGCACGGTCCTTCATCCTCCTCGGGCTTACACACTCCTGCAATACATAAAAAATAAGCATTATTAATGAAAAACCTACTTATTTTTCTCTTAAAATAATACTGTTTTCCAAAAAAAAGGCTTCATTTCAATAGTGAAACTTTTCTCCCCTTTCTTTCGCGTCGCTGCATCACCAATCAATACAAATCAATGAAATGAGTAACAAGCTGAGGCTGCATTTTGGCTTCATTTCGATCATCACAAATGTCATAAAAGCAACTAATCAAGATTATTTCTGAATGACTATCCCATTTTTCTGAGCTAAAAAGGCGATTTACAGGGTTTTCAGGATGTAATAATCTCTACAAAACCTATCGATAGTCGCTCGTATCGACCCTCACGTGCACGAACAATGCCTTTTAAATTATCCACTACGATCAGGTAGCGAAAGCCCCATCAGAAAACAAGTTAATTAACTCGTACAAAAACAGCAAAAAGCAGTTTATTTTGTTACTCCACCTGGGAATTCCTGGTTTGAAACGGAGCCCATGTCTTCAGTTCTGCCTTGAGTCAAAATAAGCACTCAAGCTACAGTAGGCCTATCCTTTTTCTCTAGCCCTCAAACTGGGTAATCCTCACAGATTGCCACTTTCATGCAAAATGCAGCTGAAGCCAGAAACTGTGCAGTGAGAGGGAAAGCGGGAGAGGGAGGTAAACAAAAGGGGGCTGGCAACCTATTCCTCCTAAACAATGAGAGGTGGAGGGGGTGGGGGTCATCGGGCAGGCTTTTTACTGAAGAATCCCCCCCCCAAAAAAAGGAAAAACTTGTAAAACAATGCAAGAAGAGATAACTCCACCCCAAAGCTCCCAACATACCTTCTGCCATGTTTGTGGGCCAGTTTACTCCTGGTGTCTTTCTTTCTTTCTTGCAAAGCCTTTTCCTCCTCTCTCTCTTCTGCAGTGGTCAGCTCGGTGTGTTGGTCAATACAAATGACCATTTCTCATCCAACAAACCCCCCACACACTCTCGGTCATGTCCACGTGATTCACAATTATATTCCCCAAGGATGTATTGGATATTGTGTGATAGAAGGGCCTAGATGTGGGAAGTGACCAACACTCCTCACGAAAAATGCTTAGGTTTTAATGGTATTTCTTTCAGTTTTAAGAGACTCTCAGGAAGATAGTGTCTTAAATATTTTTACAAAATACCCTTTTGTTTAAAAATGACAATTTGTAGTAATTTGGTTGAAGGACAGGGCTTATTTATGTATAAAACAAGTTAAACCTCCTTTAATCAGGTATTTCTCAATGTCCAACACCCAATAGATAAATGTTTAAATCATATCACGGAAATAGGCAGAAATAAATAACACATTTTACATCCTTTGAAGTGTGATCAAAATGTAGAAAATACTAAGGAAATAAACCTGAAACCGACAGGGTTTTTTGTAAGACTGATTTGGTTTAATATATGGGTTTTACTTGGTTTAATTATCTTTAGGACAATATGATTTACTTTATTGCAAGTTACCTTTGTCCATTTGCTTATTTTATGTGTTCCACTCATGGCAATTAAGACACAAAAGTGTGCTTGATGTAATATCGTGTTTTGTTTCTCGTCGTGATTGCGTTTGTTTCTTTGCTATCAGTGGGCTGCTGTCCTAGCAGAGGTTTGTAATGCTAATCCAGATGAAACATGGCGGGGGGAAGTGTTGTCCTCCCAGGAAGGAGCGGAGAAGCAGCTAAACTGACTCAAACCTCCGAGGCAAAGACCTTCAAATATACAAGAAAACGAAAGTTAACTTGACCTAAACAAGACACAAACGAATAAATAACTGATATTTTGTTTTACTCCCCAAAATACAAGATGGCAGCATGTAAACAAGCCAAGCTGGCCAAACGAATTCATGGATCGATAGTGATTGATCACATGCATCACGTAAAGATGTTGACTCGTGTCCTTGTAGAGTGATGGATGAATCAAAGACACAGGAAAGTGATCTCCCAACCAAGCTTGAAAGAAAACCATCCAGCTACGAAATAACCAACATGTAGGCCTAGCTTTTTTTGGTATAATTAAATCCTATTAAATAAGAAGTTTAGCCTAATTGTCCTCCTGTGAGAAGGAGAAATACCTTCAGTTCAATTAGTTACAATTATCTTTACTTAACTTTACCAGGTATCAGTCTTTTAAAAAATATATTTTTTGGTGAATGAAAACAGCTCCACCTCTGTGTGCGGCCTGATGGGTGTTTCAGAGGTGACCTGTCGATTTCATCACAAGTACACAACGACCCCTTGTGGACCCGCAAAACACCGATCTGTGGCTCCAAACATTACATAATCGACAGAACTACATTTACCACATTAGATAAATGACAAAAGGATAAATCAAAGAAAGCTATGCACAACGCCAAAGTGTTAAGTAGTGCTACCAATAAACTCTTTTGAAAAATACATCAACATCTTTGAATAAAAATATGTTTATAAACAGGCTTCCCTATACAGATTTAAGCTAAAACATGTTTGTTATTTAGCCGATTATAACCACGCAAGCCAACATATAGATTTGTACCAGAAATGAAGTCGTTTTTATGAGTTTGGGAAACTGGCATTCTATTATGAGATGGTGAAATTTAAAAAGGTCTTTTCATGTGGTATTTTTAAATCTCAAAAACGACGGGCATATTATAAAAATCTTGTTGATCCTGCAGTTTTTGAAGCTTTAAAAGTACCTCTGTGAATACAAAAATTAACTAACCAAGAGACTAAGAAGATAAGAAAAAACGATCCATCTAATCTATTCATTTTTGCATCTTTTGGAGATAAACATACATAATTTAGAATTGTAAGAACAAACTTCACATTATAAAAGCTGTATATTTACGCTACATTATTATACATTTTGGTATCATACTTCATGTGTCCTTCAACAATTTGCTCGACAATGGGATGGAGTTTTTTGGACAAATCTCTGAAAATGTCAGTCATTTATATTTAATTAAACGCCTAACACCATATATACACTCAAAACTTCGGTTGCACGAATATATAACATTGCATGCCTATAATAAACTGCTCAGTAGACCATTTAAGTACACTCTAATGAAGTATCATGAGCCGGATCATTTTCAGTGGAGGGGTTAGTATTTGAAGTGCTGCCTCAGATTATTCTGGCTTGAAGCCAAGATCTCCCTGCTGGACTCCAGCCACGGTTCAACGAGTTATGAACTGCAAAGATGACTGTCTTTTGTTAATTAATCAAGTGTGTTTTTTTAACTAACATTGCTTTCCTTTAGGCAATATGAATTAGAGCAAACCGCAGGAGGTCCTTCTGCCGATGTTACTTTCTAGGAATCCTTCTAAACTCCAGCATTGTTCTGCCAGAAGTCATAAATACAGAATAAATGGATACATGCTTTCGATCAAAAAATTAATTAATGATAATAATAACAATAATATTAATAACATATTATTTGAAATCACTCAATAGTAATATTTTCATTATTTGAAACTACTACTAATTTTCAACACAGTTTTTCTAATTCCGTATTGTATGCTACGTTGTACTTCTACTCCAGAACAATTCAGAGGTGAATATTGTGCTTTTACTCCACTACATTTATTTCATACCTTTAGTTACTTTACAGATTTCGAATAATGATGTGAAATATATTCAACACTTAAATCAGACTTTAGTTCCACCTGGAGTACATTTACAAGCTACCCTGCAGTATACAAAGTCATTAAAACTAGCTGCACCTTTACCAGCTTTTATAACACTTTAATGCATCAATAATTATAATCAAAATATATAATATAGTAGTATTCTGAAATGGGCCAATCTGCATAATGAGTACTTTTACTCCTCGTACTTTAAGTATATTTTGATGCCAATTGTTGTACTTGAGACACATTTTGGTTGAAGGACTTTTAGTTGTGAGAGAGTATTCCCATTAGATAGATCTGAGTATTTATCTCTCTGCATATTAAACATCACAGCATCTAGAAATCTATATCCCGGCAGTACCTGAAGGCAGCACTGTGAAGTAATCGTTGTGTTTAATGAACTGACCGCTAGATGTCAGTATAACTCTGAACTCACTGTGTAGTCAACACATAAATGTGAAAACCAATTCTCACATTTGACAGCGTGTGATGTGCTAAAGAGATTAGTCTCTGTTAAGAGTCATAATGGCATAAAGGCTGTACTCTGTAGCTTGTGCGCAGACAACACTTACATTTTTTGTTTGTATAGATTTGTGTATGCGCATGGTTTTGCAGCCACTTACAAAAAGCAAAACAGAGATGAGATGAGCCCCGCCTGTTTGATATCCTAAACGCACTGTGTGGAGCAGAAACTAACCAACCACGGAGGCTGGACAGTCCCCCGGACACCATCACCGGATAGCATCATTCACCGGATAGGATCACCGGATAGCATCACCGGATAGCATCACCGGAGAACCTCAAAGTCTGCATCCCAACACCGGTCGCCTGTCCGGGATCAGCTGCTGGGTGGGACTCTGCAGCCAGCTGGAGGATTGACAGTTTGGAGATCAGTGAGTGTAGCGTTTGAATGGAAACGGCATCGGCAACTTCTGTCCGGATGCATCGTTAAAATACAGCATATTTCTAGAAAGTCTCCCATCAGCTGTAGAGAGAACACGTTATTTGCTTATGTATTCCCATTGTAAAGTGCGTAACAAGCGCTTTGCAAAGTGAGTTTCCTCACAGGCTTCACTACGCAGTTTAGCAGAATGCAAACCATGAAGCTGCAGAAGAAAGTTAGAGATCTAAAAGCAAACTGCGTCAGATAGTCTGCTGCTACTAGACTGCAACCATGTAGCTAGTTTGTTTTGGTTATTCATTCAGCAGAATATGACATTTGCAGTTACCATGCAAGACACTTTTGAAGAGTAGCCCGTAGGTTGTGAGTGAACTATAGGAAGCAGAATCAGTAAAGAGAGGTTTATCTGCGCTCCCATCCACGCAGTTTGCAGCTTCTGCTCCTCCTGACAAACATGGCAAGACTACGGAGGAAAGCTTGCATAGCTCTGTTTCTCTTTACGCTGTTTATCTTTGGAGCCATGATGGGGCTGCGGACCCTGAAGCCCACTGACGGCTTCTCGGATCTGTCTCCGGGCGTGGAGCTCCTGCCGATGATCGGGGGGAAGATGGACCGGAGATCCGTGTCCCGTGACGCCTCCGCTGCTCCTGGTGAAGCCCAACCGGGAGCTAGCAACACCAAAGCAGTTCTGTCCAACTCCGGACCCGAGGGGACTATATTTTATGATGTTCATATTTTTTACTACACCTGGTACGGTAACCCAAACTTGGACGGTAAATACATTCATTGGGACCACATACTGGTTCCTCACTGGGACATCAAAGTAGCTTCAAGCTATCCGAGAGGGAGACACATGCCACCCGAGGACATCGGTTCCAGTTTCTACCCCGAACTTAATCCGTACAGCTCGAGGGACCCGGACGTGTTGGAGTCCCACATGGAGCAGATCGGGGCATCTGCTGCAGGTACAATACAGTTCAGAGAAGCAACGGACTTATGTTGAAAAGATAAAGAAAAAACAGAGTGTGTTCTCTGTAGCTACTTGAGGGCTAAACTCATTTCAGCACCACATCCAGTGGACAGCTCCCTACACGCTCAGCTCAAAGTCCTGAAAAACCTGCTGCAGCACTTTTTCTGCTGCACAGGGATACACTTTATGGCTTTAAAGGCTACAGTAAGCAATATATTAACTCTTTAAGACTATATTATGTCTAAACTACATTTCCTGGCTATCACAATAAATAAAAAAAAGAGAAGTGTGATTCAATTTAGTCTGTTTTCAGCATAGCATAACCCTGGGCTGGGTAATATCAGGATTCAAAATACTTTAAAAAATGTTTCACATGGAAAAGTCATAATTTCAAATCTTTAACATGATTTTCCACAATGAAAGATACTATACTCAAGAACTCAAAGGAAATAAAGATATGGAATAGGGAAAAAGAATAGTGCAAAGAGACATTTTGATGCATTTTGAGAACTTAAGGCTCAGATCCCTTCATTGGACATCTCTTGACAAATTGATCTGTTTGTTGTCTTTTTAAAAACACATATGGCTTCCCTAAAAGAGAGCAAAGTCCTGCAGCCTGGTGTCGAGTAACAGCCGGGTGTACCCAGCTGTCTGCAGCCTACACATGATAGGCCCTGATGTTTCCGTCATGCGGCTCACGAGGTTATTGTACACCATGCGTAATGACCAGGCCAACCATCCCTTTTGTAACATCAACTCCCTGACAGATGGATCATGGGAGTGCTGGCCCACAATGCTTAGTAAAAAGAATCCATTTAATTAGACACCACAGTCTGCCAAACTCTAAATACTTCCATTTGGCTTGATGACTGATTCCCCACCACTTCAGAAGGCCCATAAATAAAAGGAATAGCAGCGGCCATATACTTAATACACACAGACATAGTTGGGTATTGTAATCTAACAGTCTTACACAAAACAGACATACATTGAATGATTGAGCTCTTAGTGCAGTATCTGATGTGCCAAATCCTCTCTGGTCTCAGTCGCCATTGTGGCCAATATGTTTCTCTGTCAGAGCATGAGGACGCATTTCACTACTGGAATTTATGAGCCGTCATAAACTCAAACTGCGTGGAGAGATTGCCACTAAAACAAAAGATAATAAATAGTTCAAAGTTGACAGTTCATATTCATCAATCAGGCACTGGATGAGTGGAAAGAAGGCATTCACTCTCCTCCATACAGCCATGAATGGATTACTGAACTGGCCTACTTTGACTCTATTTGAAGTGAATGTCAACATTTGTTACGGGCAACAAACTGACGGCTTGTAAGAGTGTTCCTATGTCAAAGCAGGTCTCATAATTAATGCATAAACAGCATTGGAGCAACAACCAACACAAATAAAGGTAAAGAGAAAAAAAAACACCATACAGAGAGACGATAAACAAGCAGGATTGAAAAACGAACACCAAAAGTTGCAAAATGGCCACAAAGAAACCCAATACGATCACAAAGAGACATGTTTTGCTCCTTTTTAGATGGGTTTACATATTGGTGCCTAAGGATCCACAGTCGTATAATTTATCCACGCTTACAGCATCACATCACACACCTTACCAGCATCTGTCTGCTCCTATAAAACATAACTACCCTTAGATTGTAATTACCCTAATGGATTACCAGGGCAGAATTCGCCCAGTGTGTTCATTTCATTTAATTTAATTTCAAACCTTTATTTAACCAGATTGGTCCCATTGAGATCATAGATCTCTTTTTCAAGGGAGACCTGCTAATTCAGTTCAATAAGAGCACAGCTGAATGTGTTCGTTCAGTGGTCTCAAATGTAAAACTGTGTAAAGGGCGGCATGAAAACCTCCTCGTAGATTAATAAAAGCAAACATTTTTCAGCTCAGGTTCCTCCCCACAGGGTTGTCAGCATTTTTTAACAATGAGCATGAAATCTATACGTCATTAAAACAATGCCTCAGATAACACTTTTATTGGTTAATTTGCATTTTGGACATCAGCAGTAGGTGTTCTATGAGGTATTACCAGTGTCTTACGTAGAGGAAGGATGATCAGACTCATGAGTTTCTGTGCGTCTCCAGGGGTTCTGGTCCTGTCCTGGTATCCTCCGGGCTTTGCTGACGACAACGGGGAACCCACTGAGGATTTGGTACCATCTGTACTGGATGCTGCATATAGACACAACCTCAAGGTAAAAGGCATCAGTACATTTTGAGTGAGTGTGTTGGAAAGTGTGTGTGCGTCAGATATGAAACAAAGTGGGGAAAGAGTCCAAGGCTGGATGAAGAGCAATAAATCAAATCCTTTGTGAGTCATGACATTCAGCTCCCTCTTTACGCACACTGCAAGTTGTCACAGGGAAATGAGTGTTGATTTTTCAATGATTTGTCCATTTTGAATCAGCAGCAGTGAGAGAAAAGTTGGTTTTCCATTAGTAATGCTGCAATGGGCGTTGCAGTGGGTATTCCAAATCGTATCTTTCTTTATTGTTGTATTTATTTAACATTTACATAAACAGGTGAAAAACATTGAACCAGCCTCTCTTACATGAAGACCAGAGAAGACAGATAAGCAATACTAAAAACACATAATACTAAAAACAGATTGAAAGCAGCCAAAACAAATGTTACAGAAGCTATATGTCTTACAGGTATTTTTTTTAGGGATATATATTTAATAAACTCAGAATGGGTTAAAAAAAAAAAATGAAAATATACCATGGACAAACCGGATGTCTTAAAAATGTGATAACTTCAGTCTCAGGTTGCTTAAAAGAAGACACACATCAGGCCACATATCTATATATTGTAACAAGTAACACATTATGAAGTCTTTCCCTTAGCTGTAGGCTAGCATTATAAAACAACATAGTTAGCGTAGTTAGGTTAGTTATGTAGAAGTTAGCTTTTATTGAGTTTTGTACTAGTTTGAGTAGTGATCACAGATCGCCAAATATTAAGGGTTGACTGTATTCATTAAGTGTATCTGGTAGAGAAGATCCACAGCTAAACATCTTATCATATGCATAGATTTGATTTGTTAAATGCACATTAAAGCCTAAATCGTATAGAGAAAATAAAAGTAGGCCGAGCACAGAACCTTGAGGAACTCCATTAACTACAGTGCTTTTTTTCAAACACAACCAACTCAACAACCTAAAACAAGGCAACAACTTCCACAGACAATGTGCTATATGGCAAGCAGCTTGATCAACTTCAATGGCAATGCTTGGACAGATCCCTATCACTTCATTTCTGAATCATTGCCAGATCGATGTCTACATTTGACAATCTGTCTATTATCTCTCCATCCATTTATCTCACTAAGAGCACAGTGACAAAGGGGCTAGAAAAAGGATGAATGATGCTTCACAGAGGTGAGCAGAGAGTTTCAAACTGCACATGGTAGTAATCTCAACACAGACATGGTGCTGTGGGTGTTTCTCAATGTCGAGGACGCTTCCTTGGTAAGTCCCTCCGAGTCAGGTCCTTCAGAGGCGATGCAAGAATCCTTCCTAGCCTCGGAAAACGAAGAATTGTGGAACAGGCTAACAGGTGTGCAGGTGTGCAGGTGTGCGTCATATGCGAGGCCCCGCCTTAAATGGAGCGCGATTTCTGCCAAAGATTTGGAAATTGGTCCGTGCGCAAAGCATTGTGGGGATTTTAAGACCGCAGAGGATACACATGTGCAGCCTCAACATTTCCCGCAACGAAGGACGCCGGCCTCCGTAGAATTCCAAGCATCCTGGACATTGGAACAGTCCTTCGGCGGGACTCGATGACGTAGCATCCTTGAAATAGTGGCTCTGGAGCAGCCTTCCTCGACATTGAGAAACACCCTGTGTATACATAAGCCACGGTTTGTTTTTAGAAAGTTAGTACGTTTCAGAGATTTAGAACCTGGCGTGGTGCTTCTTTTAAAGCTATCTGTGCTTCTTAGTGATTTGATGTTTGCAGCTGCAGTGACATCTCGAGAATTACAGAAAAATAGGTCAAATAGCTGCTGCTGGATCAGTAGGGGATTGAATGAGCTCGGGAGCACATCAGCAGGGCAGAGAGGTGGGGGGGGGGTTGCAAAACCACATGACCAATTTGCCAATTAGGCTGGAAAATGGCACATTGAAGGGAATAACCACCCACTATGTTGGCCTATCTGCCTGCTGTTTCTGTATCGAAGGCCTTATTAAACTTTTACGGGCTAAGCTTGCGGGTAATGCGATACAATTCCTGTCAGATGCTCCCCAGATAAAGAGCGAGGGAAAGTGTAACGAAACATAAGAGGCTATGACACCATGATCAGAGTTGGAGGTGTTTTTTGTCAGACTTTCACATAGAAATTCTCTAAAACGAGGTGTTGAAAAAGATACATCATGTGGATTTGTGCATATTTACAGCTACTCAGAAGCTTTCTGTATGAATTTGATATGACATATAAGAGAGACAGGCGCTTAAGAGTTTTCTTATGTCAAAGCAGGTGCAGTGAATAATTCAAAACAGCATTTGCGCCAAACACTGAATGTCTACAGAAAATAAAAAGCAGCCAACCGACAAGATCAAAGCATCAGCATTTCTTTCAGGTCAAGTGTCAGTATTTTGATGATTTGATTATTGGTTTTAAGAATTTTAAAGCAAAATGAATATAAACTCTTCTATGTAGCCTCTCCAACATTAATATCGTCTGCTTTTCTTTGTAGTGTAATTTAAATGCAGAAGTTGCGATGGGCATTATTTTTGTTTATCAGTATTTTATTGACTTATGAATAATTTAAAGAAGGAGTTAACCACTAATGTATAATGGAACTAACAACCCTTATGACATCCATAGGAAATTAAAGGCCAAAAAAAGCCATGGCTTGATGTTATTTTTCATTTCATTTAATCGTTTATTTGAACAGGGACAGTGCACATTGATGAACACTTGAAACAAATAATGCGTCAAGTGTAAACATGCCGGATTTTAGCTTTGAGCTAATTTCCATCCGTAGTCCCTCACATGACATTTATATACATAGCAAAAAATAAATACATGATATGCAGAAAGAGCATGAGCAGCATACACAAGTATTTATGACATGGCAGTACAATGTAGCAGCTACGACATATAGAGTGCAAGAGATGATACAAGTGCTACATAAAGTGCCAGAGATGATACCCCTGTGTTAAAGTGCATTTAGCGGTGATTGCACGTCTGTTTGTTTCTTAACCATTCTTTGAGTTGACATTTGAAGCTATTGAGAGTGGGACAATCCTGTATCTCAGTTGGGAGGCTATTCCACAATGAGCTGCCTTTAATGGAGAGGACATTTTGTCCAAAAGTGCGTGGACTTCACAGTCTCCTCTGGTTTCTGACCTAGTGCAGCGTCCAGTGTGTTTTCATGTTCCTATTTTAGTGTAAAGGACCAAAAATCACTGACTTAAGGTAACACGTTGTTTGTACAACTTCTTAAAAGTTGTTACCAAGGTTAATTAGAAAGCTCAGTCATTGTAAAGATCGTAACAAAATGAATTACGACGGCAGTGTCTGTATCCTGATGTGAGGGGTAAAGATAATTTATTTTCCCGCTGCGTTTGTGCCACATATTGGCCTGGTCTTCCCCATAAACAACTCTGATGAGAGGCAGTAAGTCTGTCAGGCCACTCTGTCAGATTTGATATTGCATTTGTTTAGTGTTCTGGTTGGCTGCAGGCAGAGACATAATGTATCTTTGCAAGGGCAAGACAAGAAAGCCTGGATTAGACATGCAACACTGAGCTGATGAGGTTTTACACATAATGCTGTCAGGAGAGACGCTAATACATTGAATTTAATGCCATGCTTTATTTTCACGAGTGACCGAGCATGCACGACATTTTCATAAAAAGCGTGGAGGAAGCGCGCGTGGAAAGACAGACCGAGGCTTTCTACAAATAAACCTCACATTTAGGAACCTCGCTGACATAAGCAGGAAGTGATGACTTATGAAAGCACGTGGAAAGGTCACAGCAGAGCAGAGAGAGAGAGAATATGTTCGGTGTGTGTACCGCAGCATGGTTTATTTATTTAATCGTTTATTTGAACAGGGACAATGCACATTAATGAACACTTGAAACAAATAATGCGTCAAGTGTAAATATGCCGGATTTTAGCTTTGAGCTAATTTCCATCCGTAGTCCCTGACATACAACATTTAAGAACATGACATTTATATACATAGCAAAAATAAATACATGACATTAGGGCTGTGCAATTAATCGTATTTTAATCGCAATTACGATTTTGGCCTGCCACAATTACGAAAACAACATAATCGTAAAAAAACGATTATTTTGCTTTGCTAGGTTGTGACAGTGCACTGCAACATATTTGATCTAATTTATTTTAGTCTAATTTATTTGTATTTATCATATTTACATATGTTTAGTAGCTTGTTGAAGTGCGCTCCAAAATATTTGTTGATCTTGTTTATTGGTATTTATTATTTTGATATTATTTATTTAAATGTAAATATAAATGTATAATTTTATTTATTTTTGTATTGGTTTTTCAGTTGAATTATACGTTCAGGGTAATCAACAGTTAAAAAGATACTGTTCAAATTATTATTTGTATTTGTTTTAAAGTTCAATAAATGGATGTTTTCAAAGTCAATGAATAATCTTATTTAATAATCGTGATATCAATTATTGACCAAAATAATCGTGATTATGATTTTTGCCATAATCGCACAGCCCTACATGACATGCAGAAAGAGCAAGAGCAGCACACACAAGCATTTACCACATGGTAATACAATATAGCAGCTACGACATATAGAGTGCAAGAGATGATACAAGTGCTACATTAAGTGCAAGAGATGATACCCCTGTGTTAAAGTGCATTTAGCGGTGATTGCACGTCTCTTTGTTTCTCAACCATTCTTTGAGTTGACCTTTGAAGCTATTGAGAGTGGGACAATCCCGTATCTCAGTTGGGAGGCTATTCCACAATGAGCTGCCTTTAATGGAGAGGACATTTTGTCCAAAAGTGGTCCGTCTACGGTGGACTTCACAGTCTCCTCTGGTTTCTGACCTAGTGCAGCGTCCAGTGTCTCGTTAGTGGATGAATTCCCCTAAGGGAGGGGGGGCAGTCCATGTAAACATTTATTAAAAAAACACATACTTTTAAAAGACTTAAAATTGTCAAAACTCAAGAAATTGTGTTTCTCAAGGATGG